TATTTATTAATTCAATATCTGTCTTGTCTTCTCTTTTCCCCTCCTCATCTTTCTATTCTCTCTCCTAATCATATTTGATTTCTCTATATATACATGAATTCCTTGCTTTTTCTTATCCTCCTTTGACTTCTCTACGTACTTCTGTTTTTTTTTTTATTTCTACTTCTTTTGGTCTCTCCCTCCTTTTTCCTGTCTACTTATATTCTTTCAACCTTTTTCTTTATTTATCTTCTCTTTTTCTGATTCCTCTGCATCTATTCTTCGTTCCTTCAGTTCTGGGTATCCAGAACTTCTGCTCTCTTTTTACTCGTATTTTTTTTTTCCTTTTCTTACCTTGCTAACAAGCTTCTGGTCCAAATTTACTAACCACTTTCCTTCACTGTACAGGCCTTCTCAGTTCTCCTACTGGGCTGATGAGAACCTTATGTAAGAGATGCTGGCTGTGTTCCCTCTTTGCAATATCTGGGAAGTTATTTACTTTTTTCAGCCCAAGTGGATACAAAGCTAGGTTCCCTGCTTTCAGGCCCTTTCCCAAACAACAGTGGTTCCATTTGGCTCTACCAGGCTAGAGGTGCTCTGGGCAGAAGCCCATAATAAGAACACCCAGTAGGCAGTAATAGCAGCCATTCAAATAATTTCACTAGAATCTCTTGTGATTTATTAAGATTACATGCAACAGGAGCACACGTATAGTTCTTGAGGGCCAAGAGAAGCCAGAGAACAATATGTTCCCTTCACCCATGAACAGAAGTGTTGTCACATAATCCTGAAATGAAAAAATTGAAAGTTTCCAGAACATTCATTTTATTATATCAAATAATTTCTCACGACCACCAGAACGTTTCCTGGGTTGTTTTGTAGGGTTTCTTTCCTGTTCTTTCTCTCCATATTTATTTCCTTCAGGAAATACCAGGGGTTCAGCAGACAGTAATCCCACATATATTTCCTGCTAAATTGTGATGACAGGAAATGATGCCTCATATTTTAAAAAGTAGATCAACCTACAAATTTTGTGAGAGAGTTTCATGTTCTAAACAGAAAGACAGAGAAAGAGTATTTTTTTCTTTTATTTTTCCAGCATAGAAAAAGAGACTGTGTGTAGAAGAAGGGAAAGAATAGGAGTCAGAGCAAGAAGCCAGCAGAAGCTGAGGACAAGGAGAGGGCAAGGTCCTTTTCACCTTTTTTTTGAAAAGCAAAGTGATTAAGAGTCAGTCTGCCATAGCGTTATTGTTATATAAAAAGTAGGGTGCAAATTAAATAGAGAAGATGAGTACAGCTATGCAGAATACATATTAATTCATAAAAGGCAGGGAAGAAATACACCAATACTTTTAGTGCACTTATTTCTGAGGGGTGGAACAGGGTATGACAATTAATTTCTTGTTTATACTTTTTTATAGTTTTTATATTTGTGTCACTGAGCATGTAGTTTATAACAAATGGTGGGTGGATTTCTTATAAAGGACTCATAAAAAGGACATGTTACCTTTCAGCAAAAGTACTGCCTACAACCCCTCTGTTATTGAGATAAGTGTGGGCTCATCAGGGAGGTGTTGCCCATGTAGATGTACTCTGAACATTTTAAATGGGAGATATGGGACAAATCTGAGACTAGTTTTAAGTGAATAAATATAATTCAATTGTCTTTGAAAAAGAGATTGTTATTGATTCAAGCTAATACTTGGTAGTAATTTATTTTTAGCAATAAAAAAATACATGGGAAACCCTTGACTGGCCACTTATTGTATGCGAGTCAACTATTATACAATGTCTGGCGATAGTAAAGATAACTTAAGGTTAAAAAAGCAAAATATACAGTAATATTTTTCATTTTGCTCAGTAATATTAGGGCTGAAGGTAGGAGGAGTTCCCATTTTTATGTACTAGGCACTGTAGAAGCCTATGTGGTAAATATAACTACTATTTCAATTTACAAACGAGCCCTCTGCATGTCCCAGAGTGAAAGTGACTTTTCTAGGACCATACAGCTACTCAATGGCAGGGGTATGACTAGAACTCAAGGCTCTGTGTATTTCAGCCTCTGGAGACCCTAGGCATGTAGTCCCCGGAGAGACACAGTGGCTCTGTTATGAGTCATGGAGACATTAGTGGCTTCTTTTGCAGCTTGTGGGAAATGATTTTATGCCCATGGGGCTCCATGTGTGAAGACTCTTTTTACTACATGTGCTGACCAAAGAGAATTTATCATCTCCATCAGAGGAATGCCACAAAGAATTGCAAGTCATAAAATAAGAAGAGCCTTAAGGATTATCTTCCACCTCTCTCCCACATAGACTGAACAACCCAGACAGGTAACATACCTGTCTCAGTGTTTTATCTCAAATTTGGGACAGTGCTGATTTAACATCAATGTGTCCTTTATTGCAGACCTGTAGTCTGTCTTGGAAGTCTTCAGGAATGTCTGGATACCCTGTCTTTTCAAGATCTCTTGCCTATCTTGGCAATTTCTACAATGTCAATATTCTCAAAAAACAACAAAAAAAGAGCCTTTGAGAATTATTCATGTCAAAGAACATGAGTTCCTGCTTTGTCTTATTTTGTTGCTGAACAAAATTTCATGGTCACATTCTCTAATTTGCTTTTCTTAAGAGACACTTAAAATTCATTATGACAATTCAGGTGTGAATTCTTTAAAGAAATATCTGCACCCACATCTCAGTATTTTTTCTTACAACACCAGAAATGGTAACTCAAACTGGCTTACAAATGTATTTACTGATTCAGTGAATCAGAATCACAAGTGATTAGAGCCCTTAAAGAAAGCAAAAGGAAAAAAAAATATCCTAATATACCCTTATTTTCTCCCTTATTTTATATGTGGAATCACTGAGACAAATAGATGGGTACTGGCCAGCCTGATGTCACATATGGAGTTAATGGAAGTGAAATGAAAGACTTAAGTGTCCACTGCCATTATCACTAAATCAGTGAGTTAAAGTGAGCAGCACATAGTCACAGTTTCTTAAAACTGACCCAAACATCTTTTTTACTGATTCATGACCTGAAATTCTGTAGTAGAAGGAGAAATAATAGTTCATGCCCAGGGATAGCTAGTCCAGATATAAATGAAGGACTAGAAAGAAAGGGCCCAAGCAGAGGAAGCACTGGACTCTGGAACAACTCTACCACTGCAGTTTCCAAACCACATCTGCTTGCCAAACTTTGCCTGCGATCACTGTATTAAGGGTTGAAGCAAATATTGGCTTCATCACATTGTGCTTATCTATAACTGATACCATCCAAGCATGTGGACACTCCAGATTCAGGAATATGTTTCCTAATTTTATTTACTTTGCTCTGCCCCTGTAGTCCAATACCAGTAGCAAATGACACTTTCTAAGCCATCTCAAGAATGACAAAACATATGCCAAATTGGAAGAAGTTTAAGAGCATCATCAATAACATACTGATCACCAATCACAACAGAAGAGAAAACATAGAGCTTGACTTGTCCAATACAGAAATAATGTTTCCCTGAATTTAATGTGCTAAACCATGAAACTAATAGTTGCATCTATGTACACATTTGATTTTTATAATGACCCTTAGAATTATGTATGTTTTTAGAGAGAGAGAGAATTTTAATATTTATTTTTTAGTTTTCGGCGGACACAACATCTTTGTTTGTATGTGGTGCTGAGGATCGAACCCGGGCCGCATGCATGCCAGGCAAGCGTGCTACCGCTTGAGCCACATCCTCAGCCCTAGAATTATGTATTAATCTCAATTTTTTTTTCAGAAGACAAAACTGAGATACATGTACACCTCAGGGTAAGAAGCATTTCTCTCACTCCTAGAATCATTTTTGACCCCAGTCATTTTTCCTGGATTCCTTAAAGTTTGTGCTTTTTTCTGATACCTTTCTGTAACTTCTCTTGGCTTCTCAGACTGCTAGTAGTCTTTACAAGTTCTTTTGAACTCAGTTGGAGCACTTAATAATATATAACCATGTTTCCAACTCCGCCAGAGCTAACTGAAATATTCTCAATTCAGTCTTCACGTTTTCTTCTTTTTTTTCCCCCTACTACTTAAAAACCACATTTCCTAGCCATGGAGGGTAGGAAAAACAAAGTGCTTTAGTTTATAGGGTTTATACTACTCAGTACTCTTTGGTTCAAGTGGGAAAAACTTGATTCATATTATCAGAGGAATAAGAGAATGAAGATATATTGGTTCATATAATTGAAAAGTCCTGTGAGGTTTGAACTCAGGGGCTAAAATAATGTCATCTGAATTATAGTTTTCACACTATCTGTTGGTTCTGTTTTATCTTGTATTTGGGCTTTATTCTCATTTCTCACATATGGCAAAGCTGGTCACCAACACCCCAAGATTCCATAAAACTCACTGATTCTACTAATAAGATCTGATTGACACGTATATAACACTCTACTAATAACAGCCAAATACACTTTTTCCCTGCAAGCACCTATAGGTCCTATATCCTGGACCATAAAACAAGCTTAAACCTTTTTTAAAAAATGAATGAATGAAGTATTTGCTTTGACCATAATGAAAACAAACTAGATATCAAATAAGAGAATGACAATGGTACTTTCTATATTAAACAGCACACTTTTAATAATCCAAAGGTCAAATAGTAGGTCTCAAAGGAAATTTTAAAAATGCATAGAGCTTAATGAAAATAAAAATATAACACATCAAAATTTCAAAATATACATAAAAGTTAGCTAACAGGGAAAATTATAGCAACAAACGCTTATATTAGAAGAGAGGAAAGGTCTTAGAACAATAACCTAAGATCCTATTCTGTGGTGAGCCGCTTCTGCCGTTTCTGCAGACTATGGTCGCCATTACAAGATGGCGCTGGCTCTGCTGTGGTCTGTGACAAACAACTCCTTATTTGGGAGAGTTGGCACATGGTTTTTCACCACCCTATGAGAAAGCTCCACGTGGCAGCTTCGCATTGGGGCTTGAGATGCTTTATTAAGGCTGGGAGGGGAATCCGAGGGGGAGAAGAAGAAATATCAAGGGCCTGAATAAACTGCTGAAAGAAGATTCCTGAGTTGCGTCTTCCTTGCGGGCAAGGGGTCGCGACAAGTGGTGCCGAAACCCGGGAACCAGAACTTTCAGCAGTCAGGGGTGGTGCACCGGTTAGTCCCAGGTAAGTGGGATCCACAACCAAAGCGGGGTTAGTCCCAATAAGTGGGATCCACGACCAAAGCGGGGTTAGTCCCAGGTAAGTGGGATCCGCGACCAAAGCGGGGCAGCTCCTCTGTAAAGAAAGAGAGAGCATTACATTTTATTGCAGCTGCACTGTGTACTTTCGCTTTTGTTTTCTGTGTTTCTTTTGTTGTGTCATTTCGCTTTTGTTTTTTGTGCTTCTTTTGTTGTTGTGACGACAGGGACGCTCCCCTGTAAAAGGAAGAGAGCGGGGAATTCATAGAACGGAACGCTCCCCTGTAAAAGGAAGAGAGCGGGGACTTTTGTACTTTCACTTTCTTTATAGCTCTAAAAACATTATGGGCGTTGCTTCTTCAAGCCCAATTTTGTTGGCCCTAGATGGGTTGTTACATTCAAAAGGACTTAAGATAAAGCAGAGTACTTTGCAGATGTTTTTAAGAGAAGCTGATATAGCGGCTCCTTGGTTTGCTTTTTCAGGGAGTCTTACGGTTCCCAGCTGGGACAAATTAGGGAAAGATCTAGATTTCGCTCATGAGCAAGGTACCTTGCAGGGTGGCATTATACCACTTTGGAAGTTAGTTAGAGGATGTATAACAGATGGTAAATGCCAGGAAGCTGTAAGTGAGGGTCAAGCTATTCTTGAGCAGCTGCATGAGGAAAAATCTGAAGGATCATGTAGTGAAGTGGCAGAGAGTATTAAAAGTAACAGTAGTGAGAAGGCAAAAGAGCCTGAAGATAAAAATAGGAGAAGGCTCTACCCAGACTTGACCGAATTAAAAACGCCTGAGAACACAAGCGACTCAGAGAGTTCTGAGGACCTTGATATATTGTTACAACAACTACATAAGATAAAAATGAAAAAGAAGAAAAAGGAGACACAGGGCACGCAGGCCTACTGTAAGAAGGGGAAGGGAGTTAACATCGGTCAACAAAACTCTGAGGAGGAGGAGGTAGAATATCTAGAAGAAGATATGGTGCCGATTGCCCCACCTCCGTATGTGGGGGGGAGCCAAGGTTCCAGGAGATCTTTTCATGCACAAGTTTGGAGGACAGTTAATACAGATATGGGACTTGCATACCCTGTATTTCAGGACAATAACAGGGGAAGATATCATGAGCCTTTAGACTTTAAGATAATTAAAACCTTGGCAGAATCTGTCCACACTTATGGCATAGATGCCGCTTTCACTCTCACTCAGGTGGAGGGACTTACTAGATTTTGCATGACTCCCTCAGATGGGGCTAGTCTAGTCCACGCTTGTGTTTCCCCAGGGAAATATTAGGAGTCCAAAGTTGGCTGTTTAATGTTTCTGGCAGTACCCAAGACTCGGAGCGAGGTAGGAGGCTTAAAATTTCTGCAAATAATTCACAATTATCTAATGCTACATTACCCTCCGCAGCAGTCTGTCTCCAATCTCCGTTCCCGTTTCTTTTGGCTAATGATACATCACAGGGGATACTTAATTGTTCTAATATTACCTGCTACTTGTCTGAGTGTTGGAATGGCTCCTGGACCATGGCAGTGGTTATGAAATTTCCAACCTTTGTCCCGATCCCGGTTACTGCAGATCCAGAGTCATTTCCTATTGTTGAACTGATTAGAGCCCGTAGAGATTTTGGAATTACGGCAGCCATAGTGACAGCTGTGGCAGTATCTGCTTCTGCAGCAGTTATAGCTGGAGTAGCCATGGCCAGCCAGGTACAAACTGCTGCCACTATTAATCAGGTTATTCAACAAACATCCACCATACTTGAATCTCAAAGTAGAATTAATCAACACATTTTATCTGGGATTCTGGCTGCTAATCAAAGGATAGATCTGCTTCAAGCTCAAGTTGAGGAATTGTCTGACCTAGTACATTTGGGTTGTGTTGATCAACGTGCACATTTATGTATAACCTCTGTCAGATTTTATGATTCCAGAAATGCCTCCCACATCATCGGGGAGTATCCATCCGGAACCTGGTCCATGGAAGCAGAAAACATGATCCAGTCTCAACTAACCCAGATAGCTGTCTTGAACAGTACCCGTGTCGATCCCGTGACTTTGGGTCAATTCACCGATTGGATATCTTCTGCTTTTTCCTTCTTCAAAGAGTGGGTGGGGGTAGGCATTTTTGGTGCAATGTGTTGCTTCGGTATGTTCCTCTGTTTGTGGTTTCTCTGTCGCCTTAAGGCCCGCAGTGCTCACGATAAGGCTATGATCATACAAGCTCTTGCAGCTTTAGAAAATGGCAACTCACCTCAAGTCTGGCTTGCGCATCTTAAACAGTAAACCTTTGACATGGTCGTTACACCCCAAGTTATTATAACATTGCACTGGGATCGACATGACTTTCCTTGTTATTCTCTTAGTGTTGGAAAGCCCTTGCACTCTGCCGGTCTTACTGCCATTGCACGCAGATGGGTTTCCACACTAGTGCTTTTCTATCGCCTTAAAGTCCGTGCCTTTCTTTCAGGGTGCTGTCAACTTGTTTGTCGTTATAAACAGCCACAGTTCAGCCTCAGCTATCCCCCTTCGTCCACCATCGTCACGATACAGGATGCGAGGCAAGGCACTGCACTTGAGTGATCCTTGACGTGGACCTCAAGGAGAGCATGTCCTATTGCATGCGGGTTAGACGCGTCCACGCCCCGCCCCACGAAAAAAGGCGTCGGCTGATATGGCCTCAGATCTGGGGAAGGGCCCTTCTTAGGACTGAGCCATACTATGCAGCCACTTCTGCACAGTGGGATAGGACCTCTACTCTCGCCTGTATTGTTTTAAGAAAACAGAAAGGGGGAACTGTGGTGAGCCGCTTCTGCCGTTTCTGCAGACTATGGTCGCCATTACAAGATGGCACTGGCTCCGCTGTGGTCTGTGACAAACAACTCCTTATTTGGGAGAGTTGGCACATGGTTTTTCACCACCCTATGAGAAAGCTCCACGTGGCAGCTTCGCATTGGGGCTTGAGATGCTTTATTAAGGATGGGAGGGGAATCCGAGGGGGAGAAGAAAAAATATCAAGGGCCTGAATAAACTGCTGAAAGAAGATTCCTGAGTTGCGTCTTCCTTGCGGGCAAGGGGTCGCGACACTATTCCAAGAAACTATAAAGTGAATTAAAAAATTCAAAAGTAAGCATAAGGAAGGAAATAAGATAGAGAACATAGATTAATTAATTAACAAAATTGAAAAGAAAAAAACAGTATAAAAAATAAACGATTAAAATATTTATCTCTTCCAAGGAAAAGAAAAATGAAAAGAAATGAGTTACAAATCACCAAATATCATAAATGAAACAAGTACCATCACTATCCTGTAGCCTTTAAAAGAATCACAAGGGGCTATTACAAACAACCAGGCATATATAAATTTGACACCTTGGGTCAAATGGGCCAATTCCTTATGAAATTCATGAAATGTGAAACTTAAGTAGATCTATTACTATCATAGAAACTGAATGCATAATTTAAAGCTTCCAAAAATTTGATGGATTATTACCTTGATACCAAAACCATAAAAATCAAAAAATAAAATTCATTCCAATGTACCTCAAAAATACTGGCAAATCAAATCCAGCAGTGTATAAAAATAAATATATGCAACAAAAATTGACATTTATTGCAAGGATGAAAGACTAGTTCAAAATCTTAAAGTTTATTAATGTAATCCAATACACTAACAAGATAAAGTATAAACTGTAATCAAATAAACTGGCACATGAAAAGAATTTAACAAGGGGGCTAAGGCTGTGGCTCAGTGGTGGAGCACTCACCAGGCATGTGTGAGGCACTGGGTTCGATTCTCAGCACTGCATATAAATAAATAAAATAAAAGTTTATCAACAACTAAAAAAATATTTTAAAAAAATAGTCAGTACTCTAAAAAAAGAAATTTAACAAAATCCAGTGTACTTTCACCATACATAAGTTTTAAAAAGTCTCAGAAAATTTGTACGTGAAATAATCTTTCCCAATTGATGAAAATAATTCAAAAAATATAGCTAGCTGTATGGAAACAAGGCAAGGATGTCAGCTCTCACCAGTCTTCTCAACATGGTGCTAGAAATTCTAGCTACTACTACAAGGCAAGAAAAAAAGACAGATTGACAAGGAAGAAATTTAACAGTTCTTATTTTCCAATGAAATGATTGTACAGAAAATCTCAATAAATCCACAGAAGTCCCTCCTAAAATTAATAAATGACTTCAGCAAGGTCCAAGGATACAAGATCAGCTCACAAAAATCAATCACATTTCTATTAACAGCAATAAAATTTTTGAAACTGATATTCTAAGCATAGTGGCATTTATAAGAACTGTAATTTTATACTTAAATGTAATAGAAATAAAACACATATAAGATCTATTTGCTAAAATTTACAAAATTAAAATATAAAACAGAAAACAATAAAAATTTTTAATAGGAAAAATCCTTTGGAACATAGGTCTAGGCAAAGAGTTTGTAAACTTGACCCCACAAGACTAGGCCATAAAAGAAAAAAAAATTCAATAAACTGTACCTCCACTAAATAGTAATAATATATTCCGTGAAAGATCCTGTAAAAAAGATGAAAAGACAAATTACAAGTTGGGAGTAAGTATTTTCAGATGACATATCTGACAGAGGACTTGCATCTAAAACAAAAACACAAACAATTGTGCTGGGTGTGGTGGTGCACACCTGCTATCCCAGTAGCTTGGGAAGCTGAGGCAGGAGGATCGCTAGTTCAAAGCCAGCCTCAGCAACTTAGCAAGGCACTAAGCAACTCAGTGAGATGTTGTCTCTAAATAAAATATAAAAATGACTGGTGATGTGGTTCAGAGGTTAAATGTCTGTGTATTCAATCCCCAGTACCAAAAAAAAAAAAAAAAAATCAATGATAAAGCACAAACAACCCAAATAGAAAATGGGTAAAAGGCATGAAGTTATTTCATTGAGGAAGAAATGGCAAATGAACACATACAAAGAAATTTGACATGATTAGCTATTAGGAAAATGCAAATATAAACTACAATAAAATATCATATAGTACAACTTTAAATGCTGGTATGAATGTGGAGTAACTGGACCCCACTTATATCATTTCTGCTAAGAAGTTTATACTATTGATACACGTAAACACCCTTGAGAATAGTTCCAGTTCCTTAAAAATCTAAACAAGCAATTACTATCTGACTCAGCTATAGCTCTCTTAGTCTTTTAACCTAGGGAAATGAAAACTAACATCCACCTAAAAATTGGTACATGAATGTTCACAGCAACTTTATTCATAATAGGAAAAAAACCCTAGGGGTAAAGAAAAAACCCTCAGAAGTCCTTTAGTGGACTAATAGTTAAACTGATTTAGATATGGTGCATTCATACTGTGGAATGCCACTCAATAGTAAAAAGGAATGAAACTGTTAGCAAATGCAACAACTTGGACAAATCTCAAGACAATTATGTTGAGAGAAAAAAAAAGCCACTTCCAAAAGATCACACACTGACTGTATCATTCTATTTTTATAATATTCTTGAAATGACACAATTTTACAAATGGAGAATAGTGGTTAGCAGGGGTTAAAAGGTAGACAGGGTCAGTGGAAGTGGTGGGGAGTGTCAATTGGGTGGGGCTAGAAAAAAAGCATCAGGAGGAATGTTTAAGGTGAGGTAATTGTTTTCTCTCCTGATCCCATTAATGCCAGTATCCTGGTTGAGACAATGCAAGGGTTTCACCTTGAGGGGAACTGAACAAAAAGTGCAGGGTTTCTCTGTATAATATTCATAATTTCCTGTGAATCTACCATTACCTCAAATAAAATTGTTTAATTGAAAACATTTTTAATTCTAGAGAAGAATAAACACCTTTCTTCCAATTTCTTCATGTAATATTTCAGAGAATAATAATTGCCCCAACTTGATTCATGTGTCTATCTCTAAACAAATTAATATGTTCATGGAGTTATTCTGATTGAGCAGCCTCTGTCATCTTATGGAGAAGGAAATTGAATTCATACTAAGTGGGACATGGAAAATTCTTAGGATGAAAAGATACATAGTAGAAAAATTTAACACAAGCAGTTTCCACTAAAGAAGTAAATCAAGGACATGATCTAGGGAAAGCCTGAAGCACTAAGGCTCAGTCAGCAGACAAATATATATAAAAGAAAGATGATCCATGGTCAAAGATTTCAAAGATGTTGATTAGCAGGGTCTGGGAGGGCAGGTTAAGGAGTGCCAGATAGGCAAACATTCCTTTCCATTTTTGTCTTAAGCCTCCCAAGCAGCAGTGCACTCAGAGAAAAAAGTGAGAATGAATGTCCCCAGAAGACATACTGAGGGCATTTTTATGGAATTCTGAATTCCAGTTTGAGGCAAACAGTCTGCATAATCATGATCTCTGGAGCCAGGTCTGGTCAGAAGTGGAGTATGATAAACTTCATGAGA